GATGATTCATGCATTGCTTTCCCAGACTAAATGGTCTATGGCCAGTGCTTTCAAATCAACAAGGGTGCGGAAAGCAAGACCTAATTACAGATCTGAGTCACTGTCTAGAAGCTCCCGCAACCCAATGGGCCATTCCCACAAAGGCACATTTCATTTTGAGGAAGGAAAACAAACCAACTTTGCAATTCCCTTCATAGATTAAGAAGAAATAAAGAGGGCCGGGAAGGTGGCTCAGTGGTAGAGTGCATGCCTTGCGTGCAGCGTGCATGAGGCCCTGGGTTTGACTCCTCAGCATCACATAAGCAGAAAAACACGGAAGTGGTGCTGTGGCTCAAATGGTAGAGCACTAGCCTTGAGCTCAAGAGCTATGGACAGCACCCAGGGCCAGAGTTCAGGCCCCACAACCGACAAAGATAGATGGATGGATGGATGGATGGATGGATGGATGGATGGATGGATGGATGGATGGATGGATGGATGGATAGAACAAGACACCATTCCTCAGAAACAAAATAGAGCCATACTAGTGATCTTTCTAAGAAATTTTTCCATTGCTTTACCACTTAAAAACCACATGCAATCTAAACCAAGATGATTTAATCCAACTTAACAGACCCATATCAAGCAGCGAAATAGAAACAGCAATAAGAGACCTCCCACCCAAGAAAAGCCCCACAGACCAGATCTACAGCCACCTAATCTTTGATAAGGGAGCTAAAAAAAAAATAGAATGGTAAATGGTGCTGGCAAAATTGGTTAACTACTTGTAGAAAACTAAAGCTAGACCCTTTATATATTATCCTACACAAGAATCGACTCCAAATGGATCAAAGACCTCAGAGTCAAAGCAGACACCCTGAAAACAAACAAATAATCTTATAAATGTGTTAGAAACAATTGTATGAAAGAAAAAAAACATTTGAATACATATCTTAGGGTTCATTTCCCTAACATCACCTTATCTGACCTTTTCTGCTTGACTCAGACATATACTAGATATTGCAAATAAGGGAAACCATGGGACCTATGTTTCTTTGGGCCTGGCTTACTTCACTTAATATTTTTTCCAAGTCTTTGCATTTCCTAACAAATGGGGCAATGTTATTCTTTCTGATGCAGGCATAGAATTCCATTGTGTGTATATACCACATTTTCTTGATCCATTCATCTACTGAGGGCCATCTGGGTTGGTTCCATATCTTAGCTATAGTAAATAATGCTGCAATAAGCATAGTCATGCTGGTAGCTTTAGTGTGGTCTTGTTTGTAAACATTTGGGTAAATGCCCAAAAGTGGGATTGCTGGGTCACAGGGGAGCTCTATGTGTGGTCTTTTGAGGAACCTCCATACTACTTTCCAAAGTGGTTGAACAAGTTTATACTCCCACCAACAATGCAGTAAGGTTCCCTTCTGTCCACATCCCCTCCAGCATCTGTTGTTATTAGAGTTCTTGATTTTTGCCATTCTAACTGGGGTGAGGTGGTATCTCAATGTTGTTTTGATTTGCATTTCTTTTATGGCTAGGGAGGTTGAGCATTTCTTCATGTGTCTATTGGCCATCCTTCTTTCCTCTTCAGAGAAGTTTCTCTTTAAGTCGTTAGCCCACTTATTTATTGGGCACTTCTTTCTTTGAGGATTTGTTATTGGGGATTTAATTTTTTAAGTTCCAAGTATATTTTAGATATGAGACCCTTGTCCGTTGTATGGCTAGTGAAGATCATCTCCCAATCCGTAGGCTTTCTATTGATCTTGCTAGCTATGTCCTTTGCCATGCAGAAGATCTGTAACTTCATGCAATTCCATTTGTCCAACCTTTCTTTGATTTGTTGTGTTTCCGGGTCTCTATTAAGAAAATTTCAGCCTGCGCCAAGGAGACCTAGGGTTTTTCCTATTCCATCCTGTAATGTTTTCAGAGTGTCAGCTTTGACTCCGAGGTCTTTGATCCATTTGGAGTTGATTGCAGGGTGATAGATAAGGATCTAGCTTTAGTTTTCCACAAGTAGTTAACCAATTTTGCCAGCACCATTTACTGAAGAGGCTGTCTTTCTTCCATTCTATTTTTTTTAGCTCCCTTATCGAAGATTAGATGGCTATAGGGTCTGTAGATTCATTTCTGGGTTTTCAATTGTATTCCATTGGTCCTGAGGTCTGTTCTTGTGCCAGTACCAAGCTGTTTTGATTACTATGGCTTTATAGTAGAATCTGAAATTTGGTATTGATATTCCTCCAGCAGTGTTCTTTGTGTTGAGGATCGTTTTTGCTATTTGGGGTCTTTTATTGTTCCATATGAATTTTTGGATTGCCTCTTCTATTTCCTTGAAGAATGAGGTTGGAATTTTGATGGGTATCGCATTGAATTTGTAGATAGCTCAAAGAACCTATTCTTTTAACAATAGTACAATGCATGTGGCAAAATGAAAACCTGAATCTTGATTTCAACAAAAGCTGTTAGTGTTTTCCTTCCTGTAACATGGATATAACATGTATGAACCCAGAAGAAAAAAAAAACTTCTAGGTTTGCCTCTTTTCTCAAATGTTAAACATTTAAATAAAAATGTCACCAAAAAATAACTGAAAATCCCTCTGATTGTCCTAAATCTTTCTCAGACACTATTGGTAATTGAGTCCCCAAGATAAAAGGATTAATGGTTTCTGCATGGAATTGACTGCTCAGTTTCTTAGAGGCAATAGACCAAATAAGAACAAAGGGTAATATGAATCCCCCAACAGTAAAAAAGTTGAGTTTTCTGAAAGGGGAAATTAAATGATTTAAGATAGATTTCTGACAAGAATGATACCATGTGATCTGTTAGACCCACAGAAGAAATTAGGGCACAGTAAAGATTTTGAGGGCAGCTTCCAAAGACTTGGGGGCTGTTTCAAGGCACAATTTCCAAAACCACTGTCCCAGTACAAGTAACCCATCAACAAACGGGCAAATTTAGAAACCCCAGGAATATACTGTGTATGCCTGTTAGTAAAATGCATATGTTTATAAAAGTTTGCAGGAAACATGCATTCTGACCACAGGACAAATAAAACATTACCTAACACATTCTGAGAAGCTCACTGGTAGCCCTGTTGGTGTCAAAGTATCCTGCCCCAGAATGCAGCAGCAGATTCAGATAGTGAACTAAGTGGCAGACTAAGTGGCAGAAGAACATACTTTAACCAGCAAATAAGATAAAAAGCTGCCAGCATGTTAAGTTCTTCACACACTTAAACCCTAAAAGTATTTTATTACCAATCACGAGAATGTTCAGTAACAACCTTGACAGGTATCTAATCAATTTTTTACCTCTATCAGTGATCCTAAAATGTCCTAAACTCTTGTGATTTTAAACAAATGCACTTCCCAGAAAGAGAGAGAGAGAGAGAAAGAGAGAGAGAGACAGAGGGGAGACAGAGAGAGAGAGAGAGAGAGTGAAAATCATAAACACATGGGAACAATGAGAACCAAAGCCAGAGAAGTGGTTCACTGGAGTAAATAGGAGCTACCAACAGGGAGAATGATCCTAGACTTTCAACTTTTGGTAGACTTGGCAAGCTTTCAATTTCTATAATGTATTGGGGCCTACATGAATATTTTTATGCTTATCATGAAACAACTTTGAATCTGAAATATTTGTATCAATTTCTAAAGAACAAAAACAAGGAATTAGAAATTAAGTACAGAATCATCTACAAAAACATACAAAGAACACGTTGATACTACTCTCAATATACACTTTTTTCAGAGACGGTTTCACAACTGATGTCCCAAAAGCCTTTTTCAGCATTCATAGCCCGAGTAAATTAAGGGCAAAAAAGACCAAGAGTAACACCTGAAAGTAACACATTATCCCCCTGGCTTCTGAATGCTAAATCACTACCTGCTCCCTGTTACAAATGAAGAGGATGCCAGTCAACACCAACACAATATGCCAGCTTAATTTAATGGTATTATTTTGCCTTGCTTTGCAATTACTCCCACATTCCCCAGAGAGAAACTAATGGATTACTAAAAATAAAGTGGAGATTAAGTGACTCACTTGGAATGTTTTGGCTCTCAACTTAAACTGGCTTAAACAAAAAGGAAATGTATGGGCTCAATACTGATGCCCAGAGGACAAGTATCAGACCCAGTTTCCCTGGATTCTGGACTCTGTCCCCTACTCTGTGTGGCTTCCTGCTCAGGCTGGGAGCCAGGAAGCTGTAGCTACAATAGATCTCATACTACCACACAATACTCAGAAGGAAGAAGCAAGCAACAGCTTCCAATATGAGAACACTTAGCCAGATGCTCCAGGCAAATCTGCCTTGGAGACTCACTGGCTGCAACAGGATTACAAGACCATCCCTGAGATCATCCCTGGACCACGTAACATCCAACACTGACTGATGTAGCCAGAGCTGTAGAATCAGTGGTGGACAATGCAGAATGGATTGCCCCCACCACCCCTCAATAGGGACAACCTGGAGTGACAGTCAGTTGTTAAGCACATAACATGGAGAATAAACTCTATGCATGATACTGATCTAACCCTACCCTAATGTCTACTCTATTGGCAATAATGTGTTTCACAAGATAAAATAAATCACCATTGTGAAATATTTATATATAAAATTAAAGTCTCAAAATGTAGATTATAAAAAAATTTGAGAAAATAACTTTTTTTAAAACAACATTTTGGTTTCTGTCTCTCCAATTACGAAATTTGAACACACTGGCTGTGACTGTAACTCAGTGATGCAGTTCTTGCCTGGTATGGTCAAGGCCATGAGAAGAAAAGGAAAAGGATGGGGACAGAAGGGGGGGAAAGGAACCAACGTGAAAGGGGGAAGGAAGGGGAAAGAGAAAGGGGGAACAGCGAAGGGGGAAGGAGGAAAGTGAAAAAGAGGAAGGGGGAAAGAGGAAGGTGAAGAGTGAAAAAAATAAGGGGAAAAGGGAAAAGGAGGAAAGGGAAAGGGGAAAGGGAATTCAAACAGAATCAACACTTTGTGAGTATGCTAAATACTTACCCTGTTTTTCAGTCATGGCAATGAAAACATAGCAACATCTGCATTAATGATGTATAATCTGGAAAAAAATGGAAATAAAGAACATGAGAAAGGTAACTAAGATAGAGTGGTTGCCTATTTTTGTTCTGAAAGGAGCATAAAGCTTTCCTGGAGGAAGCAATTGCAGTTCAAGTAGACATGAGAGAAGATGCCTACCTACAGTTAAGAGCATCAAAAATATTCTGTAAATTGTTTAAAATATTTTTTAAAAGGAAAAGAACCCAAATGCCCACTAGTAAATAAATTGATAAATTAGATAAAATATAGGTAAAAGGACTCAGCAATAAAAATTAATTAGAAATAAAAGATCACATGCAACAATTAAAAAAAACTCATTTTAATCCCCAGTTATGCACACATACACACACACACAAACTCACTCACTCACTCATTCTGCCCAAGACTATTTGTAAAAGCAATACAAGATGTGGGAGTTGTGAATTATTCAATGGACTTCATATAGCCTTAAATTTTTTTAGTGTAGTCTAACTTCTATAAAAAAAAAAAAGCTATTCACTCAAATGTAACTTAAAGCTGGATAAATCAACTTAAATTCCTAGATTTCTAATCAAGGATCTAAAGAAATAGTTCTGAAAAGAAAAAGAAATGTGAATCTCTGATTCAAGTACTTGATTGCACTTCATCTTACTGCATAAAAATCTCTGCAAATTCAAGCCAGGCACTGGTGGCTCAATGCCTGTAATCCTAGCTACTCAGAAGGCTGAGATATGATGATCACGGTTCAAAGCCAGACCGGGCAGGAAAGTCCATGAGACTCTTATCTCTAATAAGTGGTAGAGCACTAGCCTTGAGCTTAAGAGCGCAGGGCCAGCTCCAGGCCCAGAATTCAAGCTCTATGACCTGGGACAGGGTCGGGGGGAGATACATCTGCAAATTCGGCATGCCATGGAGTAAGCAATCATATCCATGGAACTGAAGCCATAGGAATCACTTTTAATATTTACAAGTAGAAGATAAGAACTTTGTCCTTGGCCAGACAAGGAAAAGACACCAACAAAACAAAAGCCAGGCTACAAAGCACTAGGCCCTCCAGTCTCAGCCATGAGACAGGATTGATTGCCTAGGCAACATATTGAAATCTGATCTCTTAAAACTTAAAAAAAAAAAAAAAACACTCCCAATTAAAAATTTATCTAAACTTCAAAAGTAGTGCTTCCTGGTAATATCATGACAAGGCTGGGGATAATAGCATGTCTATCTTTAGATATTGTCTAATTTTAAGTTTCCTCATTGTGTATGACATCCAGTCATGCTGCAACATTATCTATGTTGCATTTTTTTTAATGTTTAAAGAACCAAACAAGTATAGGTAGAAGCCTCAGAACAGAAAAAAATATTTGGAATATATATGTCTAAAGAACTCCAGAATGTATAAAGAATGCCCACAAAAACAAAACAAATACAGGTCACTCATAAGGATATCAAAGACATAAATAAGGATACATATGGACAAATGGATAGCCTCCCTATCAAACTACAAATTAAAACTACAGTGACATAAAAATTACATTGGCCAACATGACAAAAATTTTAAAAACCAACATCATGCCACTCTTCTCTCATACACTGCTAGTGAGAATATAAACTAGAAAACGTACAGTCTGTAATAATGCAGACTACAAACAAACCCCAGGAAGGAACCCTGGGTAAACAAATACCTACCTCCTAAGAAGGCTCATGCATGACTTTCTGGGACACTTAAAATAATATTCAAAGAAGCACTAATAGTAATAGCCAAAGCCCAGTAACAATCTATATTCATGATGAAATACTAGACAACAGGAATCAGTCACCTTTTTCTGTAAAGGGCTAGACAGTGGATAATTAGACCATACTGTCTTGGTCCCATCATATATAATTGATTCTGCTGCTGAAGTACAAACAAGCTTTAAACAATATGAGTTTGGTTGTTACAATATTTTTTTCCCCTAAAGCTAGGCATTACTGACTAATGTCAGTAAGCCTAATTACTAATAGAAGGTGAGGTATGGAGGATCCAGATCAAAGCCAGCTGGGGCAGAAAAGTCCGCAAGACTTTTTATCTGCCAAAAGCCAGGTTCAAGATACAGCTCAAAGATAGTGAAGCAAACTGAATGAGAACATGAAACCCTGAGTTCAAATCCCAGAACTAGCAACAACAAAAATTTTACAAAACAGCCAGTCTAGCAGCTGTGGTTTCACCTGCTACACAATACTGGTGAACCTTACATTCAACTAACATAATATTGGGAGAAGCAACGCAAACATACAAGATAAAATACTACAAAATTCTATTCTATGAAGTACAGAAACAGATAAAATTATGGTGGTGGTAGTAGTAGTAGTAGTTATCTTTGGGGGGTGAAGGAAGTAAAAAGTTGTGAAAAGGAAGAGGCTTGCCAAGCTATTAAATTCCCTGATTTCAGTGAAAGTTTCTTGCAATTTGGGAAAATTCACTGATATATGCATTTAAGACTTACTTGATATCATTTCAATCCACTCAGTGGATTCTTTCATATAGCTCACTGTCCCTAGACATCAAACTCAATTGCCATGTGTTTTCATAACAGGCTCCTGAAGTTCCACCTCTATTTTCAGAGGAAGATCTGCATGGCAACCTAACTTCTCTTCCAGGACGCAGGAAGTACTTTGGAGAACAGCAGTCATTAGACAGAACCCACATGAATGGCAGAAGGTGAATGTAGTACAGAGGGAGAGAGGAAAGTAACATATGGGTGGATGAAGACCCCTGTAGGATAAAGTCCTACATTTTAACATAATCTGCTCAATAATCTATACAGAATAGAAAGTAACTTAAGCTGCTTAAAAGCACTATTTGGAAGGTCACCAATCTTGCCTTTTGGACAAAAATCATGACAATTTTAAAGCTTACTAAGGTTCTTAAAAGACTGTTGAAGGGATTTATTTCCAGTCCAACAATTTCTTCCAAGCTAACAGCTTAAATGGTCAGGAAGTTCCCATTTTACAAATAAAGACCCAAACCTGATATGAGTAATAGCACAGTCAACTTTCTAAGCCTGCATACTTTCGACAATTTCTATATCTTGATTTCATCTAATGCCTAAATGTGGTAAACTGAATTTTATTATGTTTCAATTTTAATTAAGACATTGTAAGGGTCACAGGAAGTCACTAGGGTGAAAAGCAAATTTATTAGGAAAGGCAGAGATTATTCAAAAGCCAGGACAAGATCACAGGCATCACATTGTAAGGATTTACATCCTATTACAATGAGCTTTTATCATGAGTGAAATGAAAAGAGGAATAAAGAAATACGTGAAATGAATAGAAATGTGTTCACTATACTCCATAACTGACCTGCAAGAAATTAGACTACACAAAGAAGCTAGAAACATAAAAAACTCCATCTTAGTGGATCTCACAGTATAGAGAAGCTGTCAGGCTTTTGTAACAATAATTTAATGTCCTAAGAGTTATAAAGCATGTACAAGTGCTATGGGAGCTGGGAATTAACAGGAAATAATTATTAAAATGCAAGAGGGATGAAATGCAAGTAGGAAGAGGAAAGGAAATCTTCCCACAAGTGAAGGAAATGTGCTTCAGGTTACTACAGATGAGCCAGGTAAAAAGGAGAAAGCAGCATCATTCCAGGCGGAGAGGGTGCTTTAAGCCTGGAGGCAAGACTGAGGCAGTCATTTCTTAGGACCAACAAGATATTTGAAGCAGACAGAATTTGGTGCAAGAAAACAAATATGATGGTGGGATTTGTTGATCACAGGTTTGCACTTTATCTTAAAAGAATTATGGAACTCTTGGACATGGGGGGATGCGAACTTAATAGAAGAAATTAAAAGAAGGGCCATAACATGTCTCCAAATGTTTTTGTATAATTCTGATATTTAGAATCATGGTAATGTCTTACTGGAAAAAAAAAATACTGAGCATGGTGGTACATGACTATAGTCCCAGCACTTGGAAGCCTGAGACGGGGGATCGCATGAGCCCAAGAGTTCAAAAAATAAAGTTAAAATAGGCAAATGATTAAGATCAATGAGTATGGTAAAGAACAGTAGGAACATATAACTACACTAAAGAGAATGCAAGAGAATTAATCACTTTGGAAACCAATGTCTTAGCTAGAAAACTAAGGCTAGGGATATAGGAAGAAAAAAGACAGAATTAAAATGAAATCAGACTTGACCCAGAATTATCACCATGATCTCTTAATACTCATTTTGACAGATGGCTAGACAGATATAGATGTAAACATGTGTGCATATACACAATTTCCTAGCTCTATCTTCTGAGAGACAGGGATATGGACACATTAACCACTCAGATACTGTTTTCTGAACATTATCCTCCAATAAAAAAGAACCAAGTCTGCTTAGAGAAATGTCCAGCCTCAAAACTGGGGCAGAAAATATACCAGACGGGTCTAAAAATGTCTTAAGGTACCACAAAATTAGAAAATATATTCAAAAAGGATGGGAATGCATAAAAAAGGCTCTGAAACAACTTAATTAATGAAATATAAATTGCATTAGATGAAAATTTGAAAGTTCATATTGATACCATTTTTTTAAAAGTAACTGTGCCAGCAGGATATTCATATCTGTAATCCTAGCTGCTAAGAAGGCAGAGATCTGGAGAATCACAATCCAGGCCAGTTGGGAATATGGCGCAAATGATAGGAAGGGTGCCTGCCTTGTAAACATGGGACCCTGAGTGCAAACCCCAACACTACATATATGTGTGCATGCACATATACACATACACCACATAAACAATCACAAATGTGTACTTATAGATATATGAATGCATAAATAAATCCAAGAGTAGACCAACTTCTTTCTTGAAGAAATTCAATTAATAAAGGCAGAAAAAAATGGTGAAAAATCTATCCTTTCTTATACTCTGTGGGGTATAATCTACTACTACTATTTTTCACTATAATCAATTACTATCATCATTTATTTGGTGGCAACCTGCCCAGATCTGGCCAACAAAAACCCAGATCTGGGTAGGTTGTCATTT